TTGTCCTTGGCCGGATCCAAGGCTGCAGCCGGTGGCTGTCGTTGGGTCGATCTGACTGACGATGGTGCCCGTCCGTCGAGCAGCAGCAGGGTGAAGAAGGCCATAGTCCCATATATACGACTTCGTACCATAGTCCTAATCGTCGCCGACGAGCTCCTCCGGCGCTTTGAGGTGGAAGAGAAGCTAAGGGGTAACATCGTTCAGGATGACATTCAGCGAAACCGTTTTTATTAAGAGTGGGGTATTTTATCGAAATGCAACTGAGAGATAGTATTTCAGTGAATCCTATTTCACGATGGTGTATATATATATATATTTTCTCAATCGCTGGAGAGCTTCCAGAACTGTCATCATCGTATCCAGAGGCAAGCAAGGAACTTTTTCAGATTTTATCCCTTCGTGCATCCTTATCGATCGGGTTTCCATTTCCTTGGTGTATTTTTCAGACAGCTTCTTTCTTTGGTATTTACTCCTAATTTTCTATCTGAATTGCACGTGTATATTGCATTGTTAAAGAATTGATACATAATTCACTGATTTTAAAACTATATTTCAATATTTTGTACTAACTGCATTGACAATAGACAAATTAATGCTGAACTTGACAGGAGCATACAAATTAATCAAGGCCAAAAGAAATGCTGAATAGATTAATTATTCTATAAGGTATATATATCTAAAACTAGTGCTAAAAAATGACCCTCTCTTATAATGATGATGGTTCCACAGTCGAAAAATACGAGCGGTTCGAAACCGACACCAGTAGGAGTATTATGTTCATGTAGAATGTGCTTAGTCCAGCATATGTTGAAGGTATAAACAAAGTGAGACAAAATAGAAATTAACCTACTAGGCTACTCTTAATTATTAATTAGCTTCTATCGGAAATATTAGTTACCGTTTTGGGTCTGCTCGACATATATCAGCTAAGTTCGTACTAGGGGGTGTTATAAGTTTACATGATCCACCTAATATGTCACCAACACATTTTAATTCATCTAAAAGAATTGCTTTATTTAAAGTTTCTCGATTATGATCAGGTCAGAAATGGTTATCGGCTGGTAAGTCAGGAACGGTAATGGCGGAGGCAAGCAACTATGGCTTATATTCGTAACCATGTCTAAATCATCTTGTAAATCTTAGAGAAAACCAATAACCTAATATTTGAGTTCTACCTTATCCCTAATTTTGTAATATGTGGCTCCCGTTCTCAAGGAATGATATAACCGGTTGGGTGATCGCTAAGATTTTAAATTGCAAAACCGGATTAAACGTGAATTAATTTAGTACCAATTTAGAATGAAAAATCTAGTGATATTTGTTTCCGCACACGTAATAAATTCCATAAATTTTAAAAATATCAGTAAATTTTGACTGGTGAATTAAGACACTTGCGGAACCAACCAGTAACCAGTTCATGTCCTTCCACCACGGTCGGTTGGTCAGGACTTTGTTTGAATGCATTTGCCAACTCTCAATTAGTACTAGGAAATTCTGATGCTACTTGCATGAACAGAAATCATCACTCTAAGTTTACTTAGGAGTATCTCACGATTGAATGATCGATGACTTCAAGTGGCAATTGATCATATATGCCTCCTCACAAACGAAAATTCAAGTAGGACATATTCCTATACGGTTGCACGTTAAGCTACATGTTTATCATATGGTACTTGGGTAGCACAAACACTGGTACGTTCGTACACACGAAGCTAACAACGGTTAAATTAAATCAATCTCTATATATAAATATGGCGTGCATTGACCGGTTTCTCACGCACGTTCCACACCTCCCTTTGCAGCCGCCTCAGAAAAATATGGATCGGTACTAATATTATAATCACCCACATATGATAAAATTTACCTCAGAAAAATATGGATCAGTATTAATATTATATATATCACTCACACATATGACAAATTTTAGTAAGAGTAGTAAGATTCTCCTAACCAATCAATCATCACTATCCTGAACCTTCTACTTCCTACTATATTTTTCAACTCCACCAAGACATAAAATAAATTTAGACATACATTTATTCAAATTTATTCTCAGAAATTGTTTTTTTCGAATACACAAAGAGTAATTATTAGTTTTTTTAAAAGTAAAGTAGATAAATCTGACTTAGAAAATGCATAAGACAGATAAAAATATTTCCTTTCTTAGCCATATAACTTCATATTCATTTTAAATTTGGAGACCTATAAAACAGCCCTCGATTCCATTTCAAACCTCCTTTTAGCCCTTAGGAACAAAGCTATCTAGGACAATATTAGTACCTATATATTTAGCGCTTTTCTCTTTCACTCTCGCATCTGCACTTACAATTTAAATCCAACTATAGAAGTATTTTTTATCCCATAAAAATCTAAACTTTGTTATATATCATATACGTAAGCAGAAATATTTTTTATTAAACAGAGGGTACACTCCCTCCGCCTCAATATATGATAACCTATGATGGGATTAGACTTATCCTAAAACTATAAATGTGGACATCTTATCCTAGATTACTACTCAGTATTGGGACGGAGGGAGTACTCCGTATATCCTAGAATGTGGAGTACTCCGTATATCCCTATTGGGATTGAGGGAGTACTCCGTATATGCACGGCTCGTACAGGAGCATCCACTGACAGATGGGTCTCGGACTACAGATAACCCCCCCACCGGATCGCGATGCTTCGCCGCACGTGGGAGCGATCGTGCGTGGTAAGCAGGCAGCCGATCAATTAGACAATTACCGCTGCATTATTGATCGATCGATCGATCAGCTCTATCAGCTGCACATACTTCTACAATGGAGTACAAGCGGTAGTACTCCGTGCATGCATGCCACGATCCATCCAACGGCGAGACAACCAACCAAGGAGAAGGCTTGTTTGTTTCATCAGTGAAACTGTTTGCAAGAGAGGAGAGGACTAGGAGTGGTCGCTGCTGCAGCGGCCTATGCGTGCCAGCCTTTCTCGAGCTTCTGAGCTCACGCCCTGCCATCGTGTCTCGTGCTTGCTCTGACCCATATTTTGTCCAGTACTCCTACAGTCCTACTCCTACTTCTCCTGCGATAGTAGTAGCATCTGTAATAACCTGCACCTGCTCAGTCCAATCGCATTTGCCTTCCCCGTTTAGGTGTAGGCTGCGTTTACATCCAAACTTTCAACTTTTTTTTATCACATCAAACTATCATACACATATAATTTTTCAGTCACATCGTACCAATTTCAACCCAAACTTCCAACTTTAAAAGGAACTAAACACAACCGTAGTTTTACGATAAATTCGATTCTTTTATATATATATATATATATATATATATATATATATATATATATATATATATATATTTCTGAAATTTATTTTACAAATATAAGCTTAAAAGATTTATTTCTTTTTTTTTGCGGGATAAAAGATTTATTTCAAGAATGGACCCATAAAAAACTTATTTACTCTAGGGTAACTAGTGCCGATGTCCAGGGCCGTACCTACAAATTCGAGGCGCCGACGCGAAACACAATTTAACACTGAGCTCTATCTCAGTCAGAAGAAAATTTTAAATAAATGTTAAAAAATATTATGTTATGATGTACTAGTAATTTATTTTTATTATATAGAAAAATGAAATCTTTAATGCCTAGAACGCATGTTCATATCATCGTCATGAGCTATAGCTCTTTGAGTTGACCATGATTGCCTCGAACACTTATCGGAGCTAAAAAAACAAACCTGTTCTAGCCAAATGAACAAATGAGTAAAAGTGAAACTTTATAAAATTGGAACAAGAGGCCTTCAAATATATTGGAACACATTGGTGTAGATTAAAATATAAAAAAATGGGGCCCCTAATTTTTGGGGGCCCTGTTCGGTCGCTCATTTTGCACGCCCTTATCGACGGCCTTGCTGATGTCTAACGTTGACACTAACACCCTCGCACCATAGCAATCGAGATTTAGAGGGATCGGCACCAAAAGAAATTATCTAAAATGGATTAAAATGTAAATATTACTTTTCCTTACAAATATGCAAAAAGGCTAGAGCAAAATGTTCCATATGTAAGAAAAATATTTATATTTTAATCTTGTTAATTTTTTTTTTACAAATAAGTTCTCGGTGCAAGTATGCGCCGTCAAGTTAGAGAGGTGGTTGAAGAATGATTTTTTTTACTTCATAAAAGTCTAATTTAAAAAACCATTTAAAGAGGCTATTGGAGATACTCTTTACCCCAATGAGAGCAGGACGAGGAGAGAGAGAATCCGAATCTCTGAACATTCAGAGGGCCGAACGATTTGGATGGCTAGAAGTGCCCCCTCTTCCTCTACATGGAGATCGTTTCTCCTTTTGAAACAGGCAACCGATTCTGCTTTTCCTGTGCCCTGCCTTTTTATCATCAATCAACTTTCCTTGTCATTCATTCAAGTTGAGAAAGAGTGGTGATGGTGAGAAGGCAATGATGGATGATCTCCAAGCTGAATCGCTCTACATCATCATCATTCTCCTGCAGAATTTGTAATGGCAAATGATTGGAGTGAAACCCTTTTTATGTTTGGGGTGGGTGGTGAATCAAATCCGAAAGCAGCACCTGCATCAGTGTACTTGAAATTTTTTCTGAACAAAATGAAGTGCAGAATTGGAGTAGCAGCATCCAGCAATGGTGTTTCAGATTCAGAAACTGAACCTGTAGACCCAATAGAGTAGCCGTACGGGACAAGCGCCAAGCGGTGATAATACCAGCCCAAATAGGCCCAATGGGCTGGAAGCGCGGAAATCGATCGCTGTGGGCCGTGGAGGTGGTCAGGAACTCAGGATGTCTTGGGCTCTCGCCTCTCGGGCGGACGCCATCAAGCCCACTATCCAGTGTCCTGGACGGCGGCAGCGTCGTCTGTCCTAGGTTTATAGTATACGGAGTATTTTACAGCGGGGGAGTAGTAGCTTCGCTTCGTACATGTCTAAGTAAAACTCACTATTCCAGCAAAGTGGGAGCAACAAGATCAAGTCATCAAGATGATGAAATGTAATATGACTTGCAGTAATAAATGATATATCAGGAGGCCCAGATGAATTTTAATTACACATATTTCACACAAGGTTCTATCTTCTATGTATACAAGGCAGTAAGGTACTGTACATAGTTCCCAAATACTCCTATAAATATATGCATTCATGATTGGTGTTCTATGGAGCACATAACATACACGCATAACCTTTTTTTTGTTTTGTTTTCATATCCTTCTGTGAAACCTATGAACACACAATACCCAAAATTCTTAGTATCGCCGTGGATCAGAGCATCTTGGGCTTGGACGGTGCGAGCATGGCGACGTGAAGAAAGCCACAACCAAGCAACAGAAGCACGAAGGCCAGGAAGACCGCCACTGGTTCACTGACGAACCCAGACCACAAGGCCAACACTGATAAGACAATCATGGCGTAGCCGCTCCAGGCTAGACTGCCCCCATCCGGAATGGTGTTCTCCTCCACAGCATTATTCACCATCACTGCACGTTGCAAGAGTAATGTAAGTTCTGTATGGTTACACCCACAACCCAATTTATGAATGGTGTGTGAAAATGTTTACTCGCATGGGATCCCATATGGCATGAACATGACACTGAGGGTTTCAGGGCAGCACACACGAGTTTTGTAAGAATAAAATCAATTTTAGGTTAATTAGAAAGAATATCGCATCCTGTGGTATAGAATTTTCAACAAAGCATGGTTGATGCATTTCCAGCAACTCATATAGGATGGTTTGCAACAAAAGTGGTGGTATGTGCCTTACCGTCCTGCTCCTGCACTTGCTGGTGCTGCTGCACCTTGGTTGTTGTTGTCACCGTGCCAATGATAATATACAGGAAAAGCGATTTGAAAACCATATAGCCTGAGGCAGCAGAGGCCACGGCACATGTATCACTTGCCAAGCCAAAACCATTATCTGGGCTGCACCAAGCATGAGACTGAACCCTGACCAGTTAAACTGCTGGGCACCATTGGCTGGCACCCCGCGGTTATGGTCAGGGCCTGCATTCACCCTGTTGAGATCAACAAGCTGGCCACCACAGAGGCGGTGCACGATGTCGATGTGCATCGGCATCTGCACGTACAAAAACAACCAAACATGATAAGTGAGCACGAGAAGTCACAACTATACATGGAAATCGATATGCACAGTGCTTGTAGATGGTAATAATCTAGCTGCAGTGATAAACATGAAGTAAACAACTAGCAAACAGCCACCACATACATATAGGTCGATTGTGTTAGGATGTCGGTTAAACTGCTAGATTTCAGTGTTCAAGTTATGGCTGAAACCAGTGGCCATTGATATAAGAAGTGGTGAATTTACAGAGTAACTAACATGCAGATGGAACAGTAAATCAGGACGAATCACAAAGAAGCAGATAACAAGTAATCTAGTGAAATTTTGATGTAGATAATAATTAAGTGGAATCTGTATCAGCAAAACTACTGGAAATGCTGATAATAATAATCTTCAGATAAACGATGCGGCATGCCTAGCAAATTTTTTTTCCAACAATATAAATTTCCTGTTTCGATACTCAGAAATGGACTAGGAATACTGTCCAATCATAACTATAGTCTACATTAGCTGGTCCAAACAATGATTATATCGAAGTCTACGTGAACATGTGCAGTAACAATCTAGTTCGAACTCACCACCGTGGGACAGCAAGTCAGCAACAGCACTAGAGCAAAATTTGCAGCGACCAATTGGCCGAATCAAAGCATAGCACATAACAGCTCAAAAGGGATTAGTTATACACCAGAAGTGATCAGAGTATCAGACCATAACATCAACAGATCTATATGGATCTTAGATTTGTGATCACATAATTTCAAGTAAATTTTACAATTCTAGAACTGGGTTTTTGCAACGAACTGTCTCAAAAACCTAAGACCTACAATTTAATTCATACAATGGAACTTGTGGGTTTATGGATTTTACTCTATGGTGTTCCTTCGAGCCTGTCATATTAAACCCGGCTACCAAAATCGAGCTCCACAGACACACATCCAAACCAAGAAATTCCGTTATATGTCAATTAATTCGTAACCATTTTCGGAATTTACCATCTAATTCGCGGCGGCTTCTAGAATTTACCAACAGGGATGCGGATTGTTTTGTTCCGTGCTATCTATCTTTCTCCCCTTCCGTCCGTTCGCATCCACCTCATGGCGCCGCCGCGCAATCGCTCCACTCCTCCTTCCTTCCGCTGCCTCGGTTCGCCCTCCCTCCTCCTCCGGTCGCGCGCGCGGCGCGGTGGAGGGGATATGAGCCGAGGAGCAGCAGATCGACGAGCTAGAGCGGAAAGAAGGGGGGGGGGGGAGCGCCCGATATCTCGAGGTCGGGAGCCCCGCAGCGGCGACGCCCACGGCGCAGTCGAACGGAAGGGGGGAGATCGAAGACGGCACGAAGAATTCAAACTCACACATCCCCCATAGCATATATTCCAATAAACGTGCGAATTGGGTGACAAATTCCGACAATACGAACCGGAATTCCTCGATCCGAACAAAGATATCAGGGAACATATACTGGAATGAACGCATCGGGGGGTTTATGATGCGTACCTTGATCGATCGATCAGAAGAAGCAGCGGGGCAGATCGGCGAGGCTGATGAATCAGGAGAGGAACTGGGAACGGGGAGAGGATCGGAGGAAGAACAATGGGCGGATCTGAAGAGGGGATTCGGAGGCGGAGAAGAGAACCCCACGGAAACCCCAAGCAGCGGGGTGAAGCGGAAGCGGAAGGGTTTATAGCTACTAGAAGGATCGATCGACTAGCCTTGCTCACAGACTGACAGCTGGGACCGCGGTGCGTGGTAGCGTGGAAGCTAAGGGAGTGTTTGGTTGAAGGGGTATATCTCTGGATGGAAGATGGCGATCCAGTTTTTGAATGTGTTTGGTTGGTGGGCGAGAATGGATAGGGTGGCTGAGAGAGGGAATATTCTACGAAGATGCTGGATGAGTGTATCCGGCCAAATTGGCCGGATGAGGATATCCACCTTTGCTAATCTTGATCATTAGTTCTTGATTAGCAATAATTAAAGTATATTATTGTTAATTAGTAATTAACTTGTTAAAATTAGTGTTGATTAGATATAATTAGTCTATTTTATTGTTAATTAGTATAAATTATGGCTATATTAATGATAATTAACATATTTTATTATTAATTAATATGTTGTTATTTTCATTCTATCAATTCTCATCCACCGAACCAAACAAGAAACTGGATGGACATATCCACCTGACCAAACAAAAAACTGGACCACCATATCTCTTAAAATATGGATGGCCATATCCTATCCTGTCTTGACCACGAACCAAACACACCCTAAGCCTCTCCCATTCAGTTCCACGTCTCCGGGCCGGGCCTCTACGAGCGGAGAATGGGCTCCGAGCCTCCGAGAAATGTTCGAAAAACACAGTTAAAAGCAACATTCAAAAAGACAGTTGTAAAACACAGTTACTTTTAAGTAACTTCTCCCATCCACAGTTACTTTAAAAGCACAGTTACTTTCGAACCGTTTTTCGAGTAACGACAAGAACTTTAAGGCCATCACCAATGTGTAGCCCTAGGTCGTCCCCGTAGCCCTCTCCGTACGTCGCCGTTTGCTTTATCGTCGGCGCCGTCCCCCCACGATGGAACGCGTCCCTCGCTCGCTTTTGGCAGGGGAACGCAACTGAGGGGGCGCGTTGGGCGCGAGCGTGGCCTGTGGACACCGTTCCCACCAAAAAAATTTCCCCTTCCATCCCTTGCAGCCGCCGGCGAAAGGAGAGAGAGGGAGAGAGAGAGAGGCCAGTGGCGGCGGCGAGGGAGAGAGGTGCGATTCGGCGGCGAGAAGAAGAGGGAGACGAGAGGTGGAGACGATGCCGACGACGATCTGCGCGACCTCCTCCGCCGGCACCGCTCCATCCCGATCTGCCCGCAAGGGGGCCAGATCCACGCACGACGGCGCCAAATCTGCCGCCTTCGGCCGCCGGTGGCGCCAGTGGGGTGAGGCTGGCGTGAGGCGGCGACGAGCGGGGGTTTTGCAGCCTCTGGCCGGTGACGGCGGTCGGCTTGGGTCGTGAGCCCGACCCGGCGACAACTGCACAGCACCGCTTGCCATCGGCCACCGCGAGGGAGAGAGAGGCGACAACGAGAAAGGGAGAGAGAGGTGGTGGAGACAGAGAGAGAGAGGATCCGGCGCCGACGAGTTGGAAGGGGAGGACGAAGGAAACGGAGCGGCGGGGGAGGGCGGTTGAGGCTACAGGGGTCGCGACACCCATTATAGGCTTGAGTATCTTCATCCAGTGGCCTCATATTTTGGGGAGCCCATCTAGGGTGTCCTCCATTGTGAGGGGAGTGCCCAAGAGAGTGCCTCAGTTAGTGAGGGCACCCATGGAGTGTCCCTGATTGTAGATGTCCTGAAAACATCGAGGGGTTTACTTTAAAAAACATAGAGTTCGAAAAAAAGCTCTATATGAAAGTTACTTTAAAAAGACACATTGTTTAACGGTTCGAAAAAAGTGAAAAAACGAACGGACCCATCGTCAATAAGCCAAACAAATAGTAATTTTTGAATAAAACTTTTATATGCGTGTTTTTAACGATATAAAAGCAAAGGTTGAAAAATAAACTTCGATGAAAAAACCACAAAATCAGCTCCAAATTTAAGTTTGAAAATTCAAATTTTAGCTGATAAGCATAAACATAAGAGAAAAGATGAGGCCTAAAGAAATAGAAGTTGAAAGGAGGACGATGAACACAGCCGTAGAATGTTTTGGAAGAGATGGTGTCCTAATGGCAATTTTAATACTCTATCCGTTCCAAAATAATTGTAGCGGTGGGTTGTCCAAAAGTTGGATAAACTTTTAGATAAAAGTAGCACGCTTTTCAAATTGCTGATCGGTATGTTTCGTGCGAAAACTTTTTATATGAAAGTTGTTCTAAAATATTAGATTAATCTATTTTTCAAGTTTATAATAATTCAAACTAAATTAATCACACATTATTACCACATCATTTTACGTAAAACGTTTAATTTTTATCTTCATTCAAACACCACCTCTGTTCCACCATTGGTTTGCGTCCTGCGTGTACCGTGTACAGTTTATATTTGAAGGCAATATGGGAATCTAGTCAAAACCCGTTCTGTGTCGATTGCCTGGACGCGAGACCGTTCTTCGTCACTTGATATGCGGGGTTCATGTATAATCAATCCAGAAAGTTGTCAAAGTCTACGGCTCTCGTCTGAAAGGGATTTTTTTTTTGAGAAATGGATGAACTTTAAAGTTTGTTTATTTCCTGTTGTTACCAATGTCTTACAAACCCTTGTCCCCTAGTACTTAAAACACACATAATTCTGTTTTACGTGCCCAAACTACACTAATTCCTTGCTTGCGTCCTTATCCTCTTCTCCTACTTTGTGTACTTGACAAATTTTGCGTCCTTATCCTCTTTTCCTACTCTCTGTACTTGACAAATTTTGCTATTTTACAGTTCTAGCTTCTGGAAACAACAAATGTCAATATTTATAAGAATACACGTTTGAAATATAGATATTTATTATTATACATAGTAGCAATTATAATATTTCTTTCTGATTAAATAATTTGAATTTAAACCATAATTTGGTATTGTTGATGCTAGAAAGGGTGAACATAGCATGTGTCTCGGTGAAGATTTAGGCTGTGTTCTTCCCCATTTTTTCACAACTCACGTCTCTCGTTTTTTACGCGCACACTTTTCAAACTAATAAACGGTAAACGGTGTGTTTTTTTGCAAAAAAGTTCAATACGAAAGTTGCTTTAAAAAATCATAATAATCCATTTTTTAAAAAAATTAGCTAATATTTAATTAATTTTGCACTAATGAATCGCTTCGTTTTACGTGTTAGACCGTTTTGCGTGTTAGAGGGATTAGTTCCCAACCGTGGAAAACGAACGCAGCTTAATAGAGTGGTAAAATTTTCATCGTATTCAAGCCCATTTTAGGAATTTACAATTAAGATTATCCTGTTTTCAAGATCTTGACAGCCTGGCTTTGTCTCTGGTCAGAAGTTACATTTTATATGGGATTCAGTCCATTTCCAGTAAGGCAAAATAATTCACATTTTGATCAATAATGAGGGTAAAATGTAAATTGACGTACAGTAATAGGTGGTACATCACTAAGATCAGGAGGCACAAGTAATATACAATACGGTATTTATATTTCACACAGTAAGGTTTTGTATTCAAATACAAGGCATATCGGACATACACCACACAATAATAATACACAAGAAAATAAAGTTCTATGATGGACCCTCTGACCCTGCACACCACACACAGACTTTTTTGAATAGTTATATGGGACATACACAACATAACTACTAGTATAATACCACAGTACAGCTACAGAGCCTACAGGTACAGACATTGCGGGGATAACTGACAACTCACAAACAGTTTGACACATGTTTTTTTTTTTTGGTGGGACATACTACTATACAAGATGTTTAGCTAGCTTCTTTCTTTTTTTTTTTTGATGTGGGCCATGAAAATGTTGCAAGGACATCTTGAACTTGGACGGTGCGAGCATAGCAAGGTAAACAAACCGGCACCCAAGAAGCAGGAGCAAGAATGCCAGGAAGGAGATTTCTGGTCCACTGATGAAGCCAGCCCATACGGCCAACACTGGTGCGGCCATCAGGATGTAGCCGGACCAGGCCACCTCCGCACGGTTCACCAGTTCAACACTGCAAGGTGTAAGAGAAGAATAAAAATTTCCACGGGTACATCCACACCTCAATTTATAAGTAGGGTACGATTTTACATGCACAAGATAATATATGGCATGAACATGATATTGAGGATCTAAGGGACACTAAGAAGAGTGCATTCATTCTATGTGAATTAGAAAAGGCAGCCAATTGTTCAGCACAAACTAGATTGAAGTTTATTTTAAAGTATAAGATGAGTGTTCGCAAAAAAAAAAGTACAAGATATACTTCACAACTCTTACTTTCATATTTACGCAGACGATTGTATTTTCTTTGTATAATTATAGTTGAGCAGTCCTGTTATAATTTGGGAGCATCATATGATCCATAGTCTAGATATTAGTCCTCTTTTCCCGATTAATATGATAATTTAAATGCATTCATAGCAAATGCGGGGCTCATTTTAGTCTTTCTATAATAATACTGTATATAATAGATAGATTATCACATCCCGTGCTCTGAGAATTTCAATATCACAGGTCACAATTGGTATTTTTCGTGCTACTTTATACAGGACAGTTTGTCAACAAAGGAACTAGTGGTATGTGAAGGTCTCTCATGTCTTACCATGCTGGGCTTGTTGGTGTTGCTGCTCCCATGCTGTGGTTGTCTCCATGATATGCTGGAAACATTATATGGAGAAGACCGAAGAGCTTGAAGCAGCCGATGAGCCAGATCCCCAACAGAAGTAGCAGAGACCATTGCAAAGGTTCTGCCTGCCAAGCCACAGCTACCATTGGGGAAGCACAATACAGCAAGATCACAAATGCCGACGTGTCGACCTGCTGGGCATCACATATATATAGGACGGTTATGTAAAGATGTAGCTTAAACTGCTAGATTTGAATGCTTAGGGTATGGCTGAAACCATCAGTAATTAACATAAAGTAGTGAATCTAAACAACTAACATGCAGATGCAGCACTCCATCAGGACAAATCACTAAAGTAGTAAAATCTAGATGGATAAATATTAGCCGATTAGAACCTGAATCAATAAAACTAGCTGACATGCATCTTCACATTACTTAGAATTTAGAAACGGATGTTCAATCGCAAATAGGATGTTCTTCAATCACAAAAGGAGTAGTCAACATTAGCTGGTACAACAATGAATAGATCAAAACCTACGTGAACCTTTGCAATAATAACCTATCTGAAATCACCACAGCACAGCAAGTCAGCATTCAGCGACAGTATTGGAGCAAAATATGCAGCTATCAAAGGCTAAATCACGTCATAACAACTGGAACAAACCCCATAAGGACTTGTTTGGTTAATCCCTCCCACAAGAGGATTGAGATGGATCTGGAGGGGATTTATTCCACACCTATTGTGGTGTGGAATTATTTCCCCTCAATCCCCTCCTCTTGGGGATTAAACAAACAAGGCCTAACACAGTAAAAAGGGGAATTTAGTAAACAAGGCCTAACACAGTAAAAAGGAGAATTTAGTAGCCCGGGAAGCGATTAGAACGTACAACATCAACTGGACTACATGGATCTGGGATATGAATCATACAATTTTGAGTTAAATTTCATATTAAACCAGGTGAGGCATGGATAACGCAAAATAACATGTTCCCCTTTGGTTTGGACGGAATTGAAGGGGATTGGAGGGGGGGATAAATCCCCTCTAATCCCTCTCTCACGGGGATTAACCAAACAAAGCCTTAAAAGTTTATATGACTAGATTTCCCGGCAAAAAAGAAAAAAAAAGACAGAGTGATAGATATGGAAGCAGGATGTTTCACAAAACTCAACCTTACAAACAACGAAATAGCCAGTAGGCCAAATTCCCCTTCCCCTTCGCTGTTATGGTCAAATTCCACGTATTGGTGTCATAGGTCGAACAGAAACATGAGGCGCCAGCCAGTCGGGCCACATCTTCCTCCGATCTAAAATTTCTAAACCCGCACTACCGAAATCGAAGCTCGGCACACCCGCACACATACGCATCTCGATCGACCGGATCAAAACACCATGAGCAAAATACTGGAATGAACGGATCGAGGGGGGGTCGCTGTACCTTCACCATCTTGAGGGGGCGGAAGGCGGGCGGAACGAGAGGCGGATCGGCGAGGCGAGGCGACGAGGCTGCGCGCAAAGGGAATGGAATGGAAGGGAGTGAGGAGGCGATGGAAACGGGGAGTAGTATATTTGAATAGACTACTCCGGCCTCGGCCCGGCCCGTTTTGACCACTCTGTGAGTTGCGGCTGCCTTCTCTCCTATGAGCAGGTACAATAGCAGGCTATAAGCCAACTACAAACATATTTTAAGAAGATAAATAAGGAGAGAAAAGAAGCGGACTACAGATTTTTAGCCAGCTATAGCACGGACTCCAAGACGCAGTGTGTATATGGTAGGTGGGATAAAGTATTAATAGTGTAGTATATAACTATTATATGAATGAGCTATTCAAATTAGCTATAAATGAATTGGAGCTAATACTTGGCTATACTATTGAACTTGCTCTAAGCCTCCCTTGGAAGCGATCTCATCCGTCCATCTCTCCACGATTCGCCGCAGATCAGGACGAGGAGGGGAGGAGTGGCGTGAGGAGGAAGACGAGATCGGCTGTGTTCTTTTGCCCTGGGTTTCTAAACCACTATCTTTTCCGTGCGTACACTTTTCAAACTGCTAAACAGCGTGTTTTTTAAAAAAGCTTCTATAAAAAAATTGCTTAAAAAGAATCAAATTAATCTATTTTTGAAAAAAAGATAATACTTAATTAATCACGTGCTAATGAACTGCTCTGTTTTTCGTGCTAAGGAGATGGTTCCCAATCCCTATTATCGAACACAGCCAAGAAAGTTGATGGAGACCTTTCTGTTTTCTATTTTCATTCATCTACTTAATGCAGTATGTTCATTTTCTAGGCAACCTCATTCTCGAGATTATTTTAAATAAGATGGACGATTAAAGTATTCACCAAAATGCTTGATATGAGACAGAGAGTACTATTCATCTTGATTAAGTTGAGTGAGTAAAAACAGAAAATCATTAGCATATAATTAAGTTTTAATAATTACAAACTCCACAAATATATATGTTTGATATTTTAAAATAATTTTTATATAGAATGTTTTTCGCACAAAACATGCTTTTTAATTGTTTGAAAAGCATACTAACGAAACCAAGATAAAATCTAAATCTTAATAATAAAAAATGGCCTTAACTATTTTTCACTCTTACGAATGACAATTAAAGATTTATTACTAAATCCACATAACATAGATGTGAGTGACAAAATTTTAATTACCGTATCTTAGAAGTGATAAATAGTTAAATGTCCGCTCGTTCTCACACATGTTTCGAAGGCGGAGTGACTCGCTGCTTTGCTGTCGGTGAGGTCGGTCAGGTTGGCTGGCATGATGTCAACGCTCACCATCGTTAAAATCAGAAAAACCCAGAAGGCCAGAGTTATTTTTCTTTTAAAAAAAAAGAGTATTTTTTTCTAAAAAAAGGGTAATTTTTTCCCTAACCACATGTATATTGGGAAAATGCTTCTCAGGATACGTCCGACGCGGGATGATTCGTCGGACGCCAGTACGCTGCTTTTCTCTACTATATTCTGTACTGCTCAAGTCTTTGCAGCTGAAAAATATACTCTTTGTAGGCTGCTCCAAGTATAAACGGCCTTTGCAGCTGCGTACTATAGATAAATTATGGGAAACTGATCTGAAGTATATATGGCCCGAAGCCCGATGGCCTGGCCCAGACACGGCATGGCCCGATTCGACTCGTGCCCGTGCCGGCCCTGCCCAACAACCGTGTCGTGCATAGGCTGCTACCTCGGCATGCTGGGCTGACACTGTTCGACACGAAGTTGAAGGATGCGAAATAGACTTATTTCAACCACATGTAAGACGCGACGCAAAGTATAGAGAGGAAAAATAGACATTATATGTCACAGCCCAAAGATTAGGGATGTAAAATAAACTTATTTTAGCTATATGTGTCACAACCCAAAGATGAGGCAGGGAAAATAGACTTATTTTAAATAAGGCACAATAGGCTGCCCGTGCTTTCGGCCTGAGGTGCAGCCCGTGAGCCGGTACGCAATGGCCCGAAGTGCGGGCCGTGCCGTGCCGGCCCGATCGCCTCGGGCCGTGCCTAGGCTGGGCCATGTCGAGCGGGTCTTATGGCCATCTATAATTTGAAGGGTAACTAAATAGAAGCAGGTTGTGTTCTTTTCTTCTGAAGATAAAAATAAAGATGAAGATAAATACTAAGGACCTATTTGGTTGGTTAGGCAACTTCGGAGAATTGCATGTGCTTTGCCTGGCCAGGCAACCTAGATTTTGCTTGTTTGGTTTGGCACACTTGACTGAGAGAAAAAAATTTGATTGGACTTAGATTATTTCTATTAATTATGTGTTCAGGGGAAGAAACAAAAATCAACCAAACTCGGCGTCCACTCCAGATGCGGATGCGGATCCTCTGACTTTACTTGCTAAAGTCACGGTGTGACTTTCGGCTAATCTCCACCGTCCGACTCATCCGACGGAGGACGTCTCCTGCGGGCTGCTTTCGGGCCATTAAATGCCATTTCATTGCTGATCCTAACCAGCGATTAGTGAACCTAATTACCTAAACAATATAATACTACATGAGATTAGTCAGATAACTGGAAATTACTTCTAATCTGTGTGCTAAATCGCTGATTCCATGTGAATATATTACTGTGTAATCAGCATTATTGAAAAATTTAGTGTAAGCAGTACATGTGATTAGTTTTCTCGCTAGAACGTATCGATTGATATGTTGCACGTACATAAACGAGATCCCTCCAAACATTTTATTAAAAAGAAATTATAAGTGTGTTGGGAATTGAACACGGGACCTCGAAGTCAAAATCAACAAATATCAAGTGCACCTCTATGTTTCACGTATATAGCAATGTATTTTTTTACATAGTTATTTGCTTAAATTTCTGTTGCTATTAGAAAAAGTATGCGTGCATTGCAATTTTTTCTCGATCTTTCAATCCACTTGATTTTCATTTTTTTCATTTCCCATAAAAACGCGGGAAAGCAGCTTTATTAATTTTAGTCACCAAAAAAAAATTTCATGCAGTTGCCGGACTAATCTCTCATGGAGTAGTATTGTTTAGATTTATTACTCGTTGGGTAGAATCAGTACTAAAATGACATTCATCTGCAACAGATTAGAGGTAATTTTCAGTTATTAAACTAATCTCATGCAGTATTATATTGTTTAGATAATTAGGTTCATTAATCGTTGGTTAGGATCAGCAATCAAGGCATTTAATGGCTCGAAAGTAGCCCGCGGGAGATATCCTCCGTTGGATGAGTCGGACAATAGAGATTGGCCGAAAGTCACACCGTGACTTTAGCATGTAAAGTCAGAGGATCCGCGTCCACTCCATCCACATCTTAGCTCTGAGAAATTACTAGCATACTCACAAAGTAGGGAAAAATAAATAGGATGCTGAGAAAGAGATCCCCAAATCCAACAACCGGCAAATTAAACTTTCAATTCCCAGCCGCATGCAAATCAAGTCAATAATTAACGAAACAAATGGAGGCAGCCATCTCCGCAAGACGGTAGATCCAGCTAGACGACAGGGGCTGCTTCATGCGAGAAGGTGAGAGATCTTACTATACCATATGCCACAGCAAAAAACTAAACATAGCGAATCGGCAGGTTCCTCCATTCAACCTGGCGTGGCAATGGCTCCGCACGATGGGCGACGGTGGCCGGCAACAGTGGCTTTGCGCGATGGTGGCCAGCACAGGGGCTTCCCATGACGGCCGGCGGCGGCGGGGGCTTCGCTTGACGGCAACGATACCGATGGCGACGGCTTTGGCTTCGTGCAGCGCTAGCTGAGCATGCATGGGACTTCACGAGAGATTAGGCTGGTAATCCTCGAGCAATGCTACGCCTCGAGCTCAGGCGCCTGACTCTTGCTAGTGACATACCGGGTTTAATCATACCAGGCGAGTGGAAAGGAGGCTCAGGGTGACAACCAAACAGAGGGTAAAATAACTCGGGCTTGTCTCAGGCTAGGCAAGTTTTTCTCAGGGTAGCCAAACAGGTGCTAAGTGTTTTACGTAAAATGAGGTGGTATTATCGTATGATTAATTGAGTTTTAATTATTACAAACTTAAAAATAGATTAATATGATATTTTATAGCAACTTTCATATATCGCACACGAAACATACCGTTTAGGAGTTTGAAAAACGTGTCACGAATATCCAAAATTTTATCCACTTTTTATAGTGAAAAGGAACGGGACCTCAGGTGACTTGCAGTTTGGACCTCTCTTATCAAAATTTTATCTTGGAACCCCTCTCTGCATATTGAATCTTTCTCTTTTTTAGCCTTTCCATCTCTAAATTAAATAGGCGCGGCGGATGGTAATGGTGGATTCAGAACTATTTTCAAGCCTGAACAAACTTAAGTATATACCTTATCATTTTCTATAGAAATTCTATCTTCAATCATTTGGACAACTTAAAAAAAGTTTAACAGAACATTCTTTAACGAAGATGATGGCGGGCGATCACTCTTTAAAATAAAAATATTGGATCAAAAGGTTCCAGCGTGAAACTGCGTAAAAAGTTGTTCAAATTGGAATCAAATCGATATATATCACTAGTATCATTGTTGGATGATAAAGTTCTATATTTACATGGCGCGATGACAAGTAATTGAGAACTACATATTTCACATGATGGAAGTTCTATGTATATACAAGACATGAACATATACAACCGCCATTTAAATTCTACAAGGGGACTATCTTTCTGGCGTAGCATATACAGAATCATTTTAAGCTACTGTAGTTAGTACTAGCGTAAGCAAATAGTAGAGCTATAGACAGAGATCACAGATGGCTGATAAGTGACAAGCCAATATAAACGGTCGTTTTTGCCTTCTTTTCTCTTTCTTTTGTAACCTGCGCAACACAGATCAGTCACACAAACATAGTGAGAGTAACAATTAACAAACACTAATAGAGCAATGGTCGATCGAGTTGAGATCCTTACATACGTCTAGGATCGAGTTTCTTTGGATCAATTCATCACATCATCGGTGCCAGCATCGCAGAGACGTAAATAAAGCCACAACCAAGAAGAAAAAGCACTAGCGCCATGAAGGCGGACACCGGTTGACCCACTGATGTGCTAATGAGTATGTAGCCGC